ATGTTGTTTTTATTAGGTTTTTTTATATATAAATATCTTTGTTATATAACAATGTTTCGGCAAAATATGTTAAATCACATGAGGTCGCCAAGAAGGTATCTGCTTCCACGCAATATCACTTTTTCGATTTTTTTATAACCAGTGTTCATCTACCTAAAATCTTGGCTGTCACTCTAGTTGTTCATCTGTTCGTTATTGCTTCACGTGTTTATTTGTAATTTTTTTACATTTTTGCTCAGTTTGAAAAAAGCGACGTGATACGATGTCTACCATTCTCTAAATGTAATAATAGTGACACAGTCTGCCGCAATGGTTTTAGAAAAACTGCAAATCCCAATCAAAAACAAAGGTACCAGAAACTACGACTACACACAATAACGACAACAATAACAACACAACAATAACATTAACAACACCACATTAACAACACAGCAACATCAACAACAAAACAACATCAAAATTCAAAGAACCAATAACAGAAACCACATTAAAAAGATGAAGAACAACATTTTTTGTGTTATTTATCGTGCACCGGCTAACGTGTCAGCATATAGATGTGATGAACGTCGATAAGAACTCTACCTCGGGAGACTATTAAATAATTTAACGATAAATAACACCACGTGTAAATTGGATTTTTTTTATCACGGACGGTAGATATTAAATGCCAACAATGTCATTCATCGCTTCGCTGAATATTATAATCATGGAAGCGTTTACGCGAATTCAATAACTTACAAATTGTGGCAAAAAGGTTCAAGGTGATTAGGCTTTACAAATTGTGACAAAAAAAAATTCAAGGTGATTAGGTTATTGAAATTTGCATTGGAAGCATTTTTCAGCATAAGGTTGATTTACGGTAAGGAATGATTTTAAACTTTTAAGTTTGATGAATGGCCTTTTTCGTTAATTCTCGGGAATCTCGTTTATTTTTTTATTTCAGTTTCGGCGGGGAATGATTTTCAAAATTCTTAACTTAATGACTTATTTTTTGCTTATTTCCGTTTATTTCAATACTATATTACACAGTGAATCTTCAGTACTTTCTTCATTTATTGTCCCGGCATTCCTGCCTGAATCTGCTACTGGTTATATGCATCACTCCAACCAAACTTTGAAACGTTATATAACTTCACTTCCCAACTCTTACGGTGGTTACAAGTTTTTTTTAAATACAGAAATATATTCCAATGACTTTCAACTTGCAAATTGTTTCTGTTTACTATAATTTCGGTAGTTTTTAGACGAAAACAAAATGCTTAAACATTTTTATCTTGTAAAGACGAATCTAGTAATTTAAATGTAATTTATTCAATTTTTATTATATTTTGAAAAATGTTCAGTTTTATCAGCATATTCTTCATTTATACACGGACCGGTTGAAATGAACCAATCCAGGTCTTAAAACGGCTAGCATGTAATTTTTTGTTATAGAGTTTGTGTTGAATGTTAAATGACGGTGAAGTTTTTGTGAGCCTCTACATCAGGATACCTCCGTGGAGGCGTCGATAATAATGACGTCCGCATGGTGCTTACTGGATCTATAACTTTTTAACGATGTTGTTGCTGTTGCTGCTGAGGTCGCTGTGTGTTGTTGTTGTTGTTGCTGCTGCTGCTTGTTGCACGTTGTTTGCTGTTTACTGTCCTTGATTAAGTTAATTTTAGTTGTTTCCTCTCCGGCTCCATTTGCGTTTCATATGGCTGCAAATTGTCTTGTTTACATTTAAATTACTAGATTCGTCTTTACAAGATAAAAATATTTAAGCATTTTGTTTTCGTCTAAAAACTACCGAAATTATAGTAAACAGAAACATGGATATCCGTGCACAGAAAAGTAGATATAAAACGTTCAGCACCCACCTATGAAGACGACCACAACTTTTTTTATTCTTTCCGTGATTAATGAAGTCATTTCCATGTACACGCTTGTCTAAATGAATGTCGATTTGTTCCTTTGACGGCAGATTAAAATAAAACTGATTACCATTTATGGTTTGGCATATATCTTTGATTTGTCACTTTTATTCATTCGTTCATTCATCTGTCCATTCATTTGTTCATTCATTTGTCCATTCGTTCATTCATCCAAATACTAATTTTTCTTTTCGCCAGACAAAAAGTATCAAATTTGTTCTTCCTTATCATAGCACCCCAACATCGTCTGTCACACCTATACATACAATCCATCCCAGCATATACATTTAAAAACGTTATTTCATTAGATACTAACAATTAATCAAATCATTATTCCTTCAAGACAATCTTGACCTTCAAGAAAAACAAAACTGTTTACAAAACTGTTTGCACGCATTCTATCAATCGCGATCATTCATGTTTGAAAGGCAAAATTTTAGGTCCCCTGCTAAGTTGTCAAGATTCGCCACTATGACCACTCACCGCATGTCACGCGTGTGGTGCGTGGATTTACGCGCATTCGCATGCGCTGTGTAGTAAAAATTTCTGCAAATTAATTAAACATTTGCAATATAAGCACCAAGTCGAAACCAAATTATTTCCATTTATTAAACATCGCAAAGTTAATTAAACGAAATCGGCAGTTTGTATTGTATGTTTGTATTGTATGTTTGTATTGTATTGTATGTTTGTATTGTATGTTAAAAAAATAAAACAACGTTTCACTGAATAAACTTCACATTAACTTTGTAAGAACAATTGAACATGAATATTTATGAAAAATGCCATCCTCAGACGTCTTTTCAGGCGAAAATTGTAACTGAAATGAATGTAAATTCCAAAATAATTACGATACAACAAAGAAGAATTGAACTAATGATTAACAATTAAACATGAAAGAAACTGAGGAGAACCTGCACCAAAAAATTAACAATCGAAGTGGACCAAACAGGTTAACTGCTTTAGGGCTTGCAAAATAAACACAAAAATAGTATGGAAAGCTAACAAAGTTGCGTCATTTATTGAAGTTTTAAAATCACGTGAGTGCAGTAAGATATGCTATTAAAAATTAACCAATCAATGTATCATAAGGTTATTTACGTAGCAACATTTTATAACCTAGTTAAATATAAACATTCAAATGTGTGTAAATATATATATGTACGTTCTTACATACCTATATAAGTTTGGCCGAAAGTACAGGTAGTTACAGTGTCAATGTTATATGAGATGATAAGGAAAATGGAAAAAATGATGAACTTGAGAATGACGAGCATCTGCATCGCCCTCCTCCGCATCATTATCAAATTGGCGTCAAACAGTGGAACATCTGAACTACTCACAAATGCCACAATTAATACTGCTTGGTTGAAAATGTGAATGCCTGTATATTAGCAACTGTATATCGCGAGCCAACGTCACAACCTTTGTATTTGAAAGTTATGCAGAATAGAGAATTTTGAAACTTTTGGTAACTTCATCGCGAACTCCTACCACAAATAAAATATGCAACAAAGTATGTTGTTTTGGGTTAAACAAGAACAGATATGCAACTAGTCATTATCATGATCTGCAGAGATCAGTCAATAGATATGAAAGTAAGATGAAATGATAATGATACGACGACTCGCTTGTCACCGTTACAAAAATTATTTCAACCATACAAAAGAAATTAAATAAACTAGAACAATGAAATAATATTAACAATAATTAAGGGGTCTGTTGTAAACTTAAATTCTTTCATCTGAACGAAGTATAACGAAAATCTGTCATAAAACATCAAGAAGTTACATGAAAAAGATATGAAATTAAGAATAACCTTTATTCTCTCTCTCTCTCTCTCTTTTACCCCACCTTCTCTCTCTAATTTTCTCTCTCAAACACATCTACCAATTTTCAAATGCTTAACAAAATCAGTAACAATTTTAGAGTTGATGGTCGATATCACATCCAAAATGAAACCCGAACTTAATTTAACAATAAACACCATCACAGTTAACAACAATAAATTTACTCGTCAAGAAACAATAGTGAAGTGTATATATATATACCCACATATCTAAGTCTTTTTAAGATGCAACGAAAAAAAAAATTAAACTGAAAAAATGTTTTGAAAAATGAAAATCGTATACCTTATTTAAAATTTAAAAAAGGTATTAATCCATTTATACAAATAATATTACAATTAGGCACTTGAATCTAATGGAGTAATTTATTAATTAATTAATTATAATTAATACCATCAAAACTTTAATGAAGTTTACTCATTAATATACATATACATACTTCGAATGTTTCAAAATACATTTGCGAATACGTTTCAAAGGACATTGCACTGTGAAATTAAAGGGGAATAAAATAAAATAACAATAATGTCTGATTACACCCGTCAAACATAAAGAAAACATTGAAAGATACTGAAATGCTGATTTTGCAATGATAAATGATAACAAAGACTTAAATTTCTAAAAAGAGATGGAGGACAATGACGAATATAGCAATTTAAAATAATTAATAATAATAAATAATTAATAATTATAAACAAATAATAATAATTATAAATAAGCAGAAATAATAAAAATAGAGATACTATTTCAGTCATGACAAAGATGATTAGACTATTTAATTAACTAACATTCGAAAAAAAGAAAACAGAGAACTATACAAGTCATAGACAGTGAATATACAGAAGGGACAAAATAAATAAATATATATATATAAATAAATAAATAAATAAATAGATAAATAAATGAAATAAGTCATATTTAAACTAGAAATAAATCAATCCAGTCCAGTTATACAATTGAATACATGGAAGATATAACTGATGTCACTCCTGATCCAATCCATCTGATCATATCTTCTGCACTTTCTTCTTTTTCTTTTGTGGTTTGGCCTCCTCCCATACTTTAGAAAAAAAAAAAACAGAAAAAATTAACATTCTTATTCATTTTATTTTAAAAACCTTAGAAATTAAATTTTCAAGGAATATTTTTTACTAAAAATGTATCCCTATCCTTTTAAAATTTGTTATCCTCACATAAAAACTTATCAATTGAAATAGCAAAAACACATTCGTATGAAAATTAGTTCATTGATATTGTTGAATGTCGTTGGAAATAACCTTCTGATGGCACATGTTCACGTTCCTGGCCATCAGAGAGCTGGTTCAAACCTGCTTCAACCTTTGGCTGTAGTTGTTGTTGCAGTTCAGGTGACTGTGGCTCAACTGCTCAGGTTGATTATTTTTAAAACATTTGATATAACGAAATGTTTCAAAAGTATGGCTAATGCAGAAATATTTTCATTCCAAACCTTCAGACTGAGGAATGTTGTTGGCTGTTTGTTGTTCATATTCAACGTGATTGTAATTGATTTCATGAGTAACTGTTGTTGGTTGTTGTTGGTGGTGGATAATCGTTGGCACAACTTGCATCAAATGTGACTCTTCAGCTGAATGTGGTTCTGGAAGGCTGTTCTGAAATAGTTTGAATAAAAGACATCAACTATTTTTTACTTATTAGAAAATCACTCATCTTATTATGTCTAACAGATGTCAGAACTATCAGCAAGCAAACCAATGTTCCAACATCTTCCAGTCAATAAAAATCTATCCCAATTCTTTCCAATATGAATTAGCAATCAAGCAAACGAGCTCATAAAAATGAAAAAAAATTTGTATTTAATGCCAAATAAACAATGTAAGTAAGCATGTGCAGAGCGCCTATCAGTGATGTCAAGATTATAATATTTGAGTATATGATGACATGAATAGATCCCCTAAGAATTTGAACCAAGAGACACAAGTAACTATTCGCAACAAGAGGACTTTGCAACTTATATCTGAAGAAACCATCCTACATAAATGACACATCTTATAATGTTGCATGTAAGATATCAAATCATTCAATTACAACCATCTACATTTACATTCGCCTATTTAAAAAAATAACTGGACCAGATATAGCAGTATGATTATTTTTCAACACCCATCCCTGCATTTTATTTCAAATTTAAAACTGTTTGATTTCTCTCTTATCATATCAATGATATAAAAACTTTTAATTGCAGTGATAGTTCTATCTAATCCAGAATGATCTATTTGAGTGTTGAAACATCTTCCTACAACATGAAAGAAATGAAAAACTATCTGCAATTAATAAACAAACCAAGTGAAAAACAACCTGCAAATGTTTCTTATTGTCAGCATTCTTCTTCTTCTTCTTTGAAGTTTTTGATGCGACGACAGTCTCAAAGTCATCTGAAGGTTGACCAACAGCATCCAGCACAACACCTTCTTTCTTGGGTTCATCAAAGGACTTACATGGAGCAGGATGTTGTTGCAAAAGGTTTCTCAACAACTGCTGCCAAATCACCAATCTTTCCATCATTAAGAACAGGTAGGATGTTATTACCAGCAGCGTGAGCATTAACAGAAGAAACATGTGAATCAGCTGCAGTAGCAGTAGCATTGTCTCCCTTCACGTTAATATTCTTCCTTTTGTCAGAGTTTCTTTTCTTCTTCATCAGCACCAAAACCTCAGGAGCCTCTTGAAAACATGCATCAACGTGTGGAACAGTGCTGGCAGCCGATAGGTCAATATAAGCAGAAACAGCAGCAACCGCAGTGTCTGCAAGAACCTCAGCAACTTTGCAAGCAGATGGCACTTGCTGGTCAGGAAGTTCATCTGACACAACATCCCCTTCACTTGGCTGCTTCTCCTTCTCAACCATCTGAACATGAGAGACATAGAATAAAAATAATTTGATAGAATTAATAAAAACCATCCATTAAAAGTGAAGCTAAAAATGACATTAGTTATTCCCAGTTGAAAACACAAAAGCTAACAAAAATTTTGATTGAAAAATTATGCCGATGGGACCAACATTCTTATCAAGTTTCAAGAAGTTGTTGTTGTCATCAGCAACTGTAACATGTTTCTTAACTTCAAGAGGTGAATCATCCTCTTCATCATTTGGTCCATTCTCCTTCTTTCCTTTGTTCTTCCTTCCTTTCTTCGATACTGCTGTCATCCAGTCATCACTAACTGTGTCAAAATTAATTTACAATTAGAACAATTTGTAATCTTCATTTGATTTCAATATCTTTGGAGCCTATCACGAGATATAACTCAAGTGAACAGATGTTAATTTCACATGAAATAATGTTTTATTTATATAAAATATAAAAAATATATATAAAAATATATATAACAGCCAACCTGATCTAAATGAATACTTGTTCAGATATTTGCAATATTATTCAAAATAACAAACAACAAATTTGAAGATAATTTTAAGACACAGGCAAATCCAAGTAGAACAACTAATAACATCAGAAATTCATGTACTAAAACAACTAAAGCAAAATGAATGTAATATTGATGCTACTGTACAGCCAACATTACAAACTTATGAAGAAAAAAAAAACAGAATAAATGAATACACACCTTCGTTCATACTATCTTTGTCATCCACTTCTTTCTTTGAAACTTCATTTGTTTTTGGTTCTACTGGTCTATCGATCTTCTTAGCAGCCTTGGAAAATTAATCATGTTGTACCGTACATCTTGTAACAAATACATTCTATGGATACAGGCATAAAAAAATCCTTAAAAAATTCTAAATACAAAAAAATTTCAATTCATTTATCATCTGTATAGTTGAAGGACAACTTGATTTTCAGTGACACAAACTATTTAATTTCTCACATTAAAATAAAAGAACATCAATCAAAGATGTGAACGTAAAAATGTTCAGAACCAAAATATGCATAAATGAGATATGAATAGCTGGTACAATTATTAAATAATCTCAATAAAATTTTTTTTTAACTTCACATATTTGTTTAATGCTGATGATATTTAAACAAAAACTTTAACAGCTTTATTTTATATATAATTTTCAGGCAAGTTACTTAATGAACCAACCCCGACCATCTCGAGCTGACAACATATTATCTCAGATTTGTATTTAAAACTAAAAGTTATGAAAATTTTTTTAAAGCTAATCAACGAATGAAAAATATGATCAGTAATTTAGATTAGTTCATTGATATGCCTCAAAAAATACAGAGAAATAAAATAATAAAAAATTAATAAATGTTATTGAATCAACAATTTGTATAGGCTTGAATTCTTAAAACATTGGGCACAAATAAATGACCAAAAAAATAAAGCAGACTAGAAAGGTAATAGAGAAATGGAAAAAATAAACAAATAAACACTGAATTATAAAAAAAATAAATTAAAATAAAGAATAAAATATAAACTTTTTTTGGTTCAGCATTTGACACAAGTTTCATTGGCTTGGCAGGAGATGCAGTGACTGTTGGTTTAATGGCATGATTCTCAATTACAAGGCTGTTTGTCTTGGTTTGCTTTTTTTTAAATTATTAATTTATTTTTTTTTAAGATAAAACTTAAATTAAAATAAATATTACACTCTATGACTTGTGATGGAGATTATTTAATTATAAAAACAATCATAAACTGAAAAGATTTTTAATTTAATATTTGTTGTTTATTAAATGAAAACTTTAACAATAACTTCTAAAAAAATACACTAATCTACAATAATTTTGTTAATTTTATTTCATTTAAAATATTTTAATGAATTATGAAATAAAACATATGTTTTTTTAAATTTTTTAAAAAAGACATTTTTTATATTTGGTTATTGAAATTTAAATTAAAGTTTGACAATTTTCAATTTGTATTTTTTATGTTAGGTTATAAAATAAAGAACTCCATGTCCTTGTCAAATATAAATTTATTAAATTAAATAATGAATGACAAAACTAAATTTTTAAAAAGTTTCTAAATAAAAAAAATACTCACACTTCTTTTGGTCTTGGTTTTCTTAGCAACTTTCTGTTTGTCCTCGTCATCTTCAGTGATGATTTTCGTGAAAGCAGGGGTCGTTGTGGGCTTGAATCCAAAAGCGTACACTAAAAAAATGCATGCCACGACGGCCACCACAGGGATGGCGAACTGGAAGAACGGCAAGACCGACAAATCCATGTTTTATTTATATTTGATTGTTTTTTGTTACTAACTCTCGTTTGCTCCAGAGATAAATTTTTAGGAAATGAACAACTAGGCGACGAACTAATCAACTGTGAACACGAACAAACGATGTACCTTGAACGTGAGAAATGAAAGAAGGACCGAGTACAACTTTCTTACTTACTAAAAAGATGATATGACAGTTGAAATACTACATATAATATATTTATGAGATATCGTAAGATGAGATGCGATGACAGATGCGAAGGAAGATGAGGACGACGACGAAGACGATGCCGTGATGATAAACAACGACACGTATGCTACTACTAATTCACCACCACGAACTGCAAATTGCTCTCATACAAATTACAGACATATTACAAAATGTAAATGCGTGCAAGGTGGAAGCTGTCGTCGTGAATTTTTATTTCTAATTAAACATCAAGTGATTCATTTCGTAGTTATTATTTATTTAGTGTTAAACCTCAATTTGCCAGTCACTTTTTATTTTTAACTTTATTTTATACCACCACCATCCATCTTCTATGAAGACAAAGTTGTGACGAAGGAATGTAACTTTTTATCGTCAGTTTTCGATTCCTTTTTTGATTTATAAATTACAGTAGTGCTCAAAAAATTGTGAACACTCACATATTTCATGGGAAACATGAATAAATTTGCTTGTGAATCGAACAGATTAAAATGTTTAGGTAGCAATCTTTCATCCTTAATTAGAACTATTATTCCTAACATAAATTATGAAGGTTTTGTAAAGTTTAAGGTTTTAATATAGGAGAAAAAAGAATATGAACCAGAGAACCGAAAATTAGCTAAAAATCTGGTAAATTGGAAGTTGTGAATTGAGCTTCAGTAATTCATCTTACTTACTATTTTATTGTTTTCTGGTAGCTATAAATACTCTATGGTTGTCTAGGTAACGCGTGGAAAAGAAATATTTGCAAAAGCTAGTTTAATTTTGCTTATTTGTTTTTTAGTTTTTTAATTTTAGGAAATTAATTGATTTTTTGCTATAAGTCATGCCTAAACGTGCTAGAAAAGATCTATCAGATGATTTAATTAAAGCAGTCAATAATAAGAAGTGTTGCGAATGGATTGACTTACCGTCAAATATCACACTATTTTGGTGTTTCTGTTGGATCTGTTGCATCTATTGTTAAGGCAAGATTGTCTTCATTTCTAAGTTGTGATAGTGGTTTCATAGAATTGTTTAATTAAATCTTGATATTTACTAGTCATTTTAGTTCATGTATGTATTCTCTTACAGAAACATACTGAAACAGGATCGGTTTCTTCAAGGAGGAAGAATTGTGGTCGAGTTTGTAAAGTTTCACCCCGCATGCTCCGAAGCATTGAGATTGCTGTACGTCGGTCACCGACAAAATCTAGCAAAAAGCTACAACAAGAATTGAGGCACAGTGGTTTAGATGTTGGAACAAGTACCATCAGAAGATATCTAAAAAAGATGGGACTTGTTTCAAGGGTTGCACCACCTAAGCCACTTCTTACACTTCGACATAGGAAACTGCGACTAAGCTTTGCAAGGAAGTACATAAGCAAAGACGAAGAATTTTGGCGAAAAGTCCTCTTTACTGATGAAACTCGCATCTCAATTTGTAATGATGCAAATAAAGTTCGCTTTCGCAGAAAAACTGGAGAGAAACTGAACATATTTACTTCAACTGTGAAGCATCCTGCATCAGTTATGCTGTGGGGAGCATTTGCAGCTTCCGGAGTTGGCCGAATCAGGTTTCTTGAAAAGGGAGAGGTATGCAACAGTGCATGGTATATTAAAGTTTTAAACCAGCAGGTGAAATGGTCTACAAGAACCCTCTTTCCAGGAACAGATTTCTGGCTGCAAGATGATGGTGCTCCTTGCCATAGGTCAAAACTAGTGAGAGACTTTGTCATGGCCAATGGATGGAAAACTTTAGATTGGCCTCCTCAATCTCCAGATCTTAATCTCATAGAAAACTTATGGTACCTGCTCAAAAGAAAGGTTTGGACCAAGAACTTCAGCAATGCAACTGAACTAAGGGAAAAAATTATTTCTGTATGGAATTATGGTTTGGAAAATGAACTACTTGAGAAGGTGGTACTTTCAATGCCTTCTCGTCTCCTTGCAGTCATCAAAGCTCGAGGTGGCTCAACCAAATTTTAGAAGAGAACAGAACTTATTTTTAAGCTCTTTTGAAACATAATAAACCTTCTTAACTATTTAGAAAAATTTTATACAATATTAACAAAAAAAGAGTTAGTTATAACATAAATTTGTTCAGTTTAATAAGCGTTCACAATTTTTTGAGCAATACTGTATTTTATACAATGGAGATCAAACAAAATGAAATACCAAATGTTTTTCTTTAAAGAAAACAAGTTTAAATCATTTTTTTGGCTTTTATTTAAGAGATTTACAAATGGCAAATCTATGAATCGAGAATAGTTGATTTATGTTTTATTAGAGTAAAAAATTATTTAAAAAAAAAAAAATAATTTTAATAAAAAAAATTATAAAAATAACATTACAATCAAAATTTAAACAAAAAAACAATAATTTTAATAAAAAAAATTATAAAAATAACATTACAATCAAAATTTAAAAAATAATTCATTATTTAAAAAAATAAAAAAAATTATTTTTTACCTTTTTTACCACATCACTTACAATTATATATTTATTTTAAATTCACTTTTAACCTAAACATTTGTTGCAACCTTTTTCACCATTTGGTTTGTAAAATTTTTTTGTGACGTCATGGCCGATTCTTCGCCGAGGTTGGCTGTGAAATCATTTTCGAAAACTTTTTAATGATTGCATTTTTAATTCAATTCAATATAATACTTCAATTTTAATGATTGCCAATTTATTTTTCATGAATTTTTTATAATTTATGTGAAGGTGAAGTGAATTTCTATTTTAAAAGTCTCACTAATAATTATAATACATTATATTATTATATTATAATATAATTATAAAAATATAAAATAAATATAGAAAAGATGAGAAAATTTATATTTTAAAATTTAATTCAATTGGGATTGAATTCTTTGTCATTTGGATAAGTAGCTAGCTTGACTGAAATAAAACACAAAATGATTTGGTCCAAAATTCCAAATGACTAGTAAAAAAGCAACTAAAATCTAAATTATATATAATATAGTTTAAACTTTAAACCAATTAGAATTGGACTTTAATCAAACTTATAACTTCAAATTTTAAAAGGAACATTAAATTGAAAAAAAATTATATTTACCTGGTTAAATTGACAGGGGTAATATGATTATTAAATATTAATGCATAAAAATAATCATTGTGAACATCAGAATTGTGACTATGGGCAGCTCATGACTATATGTCATGTATATGCTCACAATTATTAAATTAACCTTCTAACTAACTCCTATATAAACATATAAAAATATATATATTCTACTCTGTAGTTCTATTATATTCTATATATAAACAGAAACAAGACATGTGAAGTGTTAATGTTTCTTAGTTTTTCTTGAGTATTTTTAATTATAAGCTATCCAATTTGTTTCATACATTTGACAGTTTAATTAAAAAATTGTAAATAATGTGGTTGTTCCAAAAAATGTTTAGCAACTCCACAGTGGATTCCTATGGATTTACGAGATCGGCGGACGATTACGATTTTAAGACGTACGAGGAGTTCATGAACAAGTATCTGGCCGTTCTCTCACATCGATCTCTCAGATGGTCGACTCTGATGAACGAAAACATTCCAGTCAAAACTTCAAGAAAATGTTTGTTCACTGATATTCTACTATTCACCATGCTATCTGTCAATTGTTTTAACATTTGAGTTATAGTTAATTTAATTTTAATATTCTAAATTAATAATATACCAAGACTTTGAGTTTGTTTGCTTTGATTAAGGTTACTATTAGAATTCCATTCATGGTCTTCTTATATGTCAAATGTTCCATCAATAAATTTTAAGTTGTATTTTATTCCCTGACCGTTATAATGATTATTATGAATCATAATAAATGATTGTAATGTAATCACAAGGGAATTGATAAGTTTAGGTTTTTTGGTGATTTTGTTTGCTTGGCTGAAGATTGTGTAACTTTCAATCATGGCCTTCTTTGAATTACTTTTGGGCAATTTTTGGTTATTTTGGGGTATTTTGGGGTTGTCCTGGTTATGACATTAAACTGACCCTCACTGCCTTGTGAGTGATGTTGTATCATCAAAGGCTAGGCCCACCGCTTATAACTGTGGTTGCGTAAGGAAGGGCGTCCTGCGTTAAAATTAGCCAATAAAATATTTATGATGACATTCGGTTTCATCATAGGTAGCCAAACGGCAACCCCCGATCTCGGGGAAAATGTCGTCTAAACGTGTGTTGGTTTTGGGGTAAAACACATTTTGCTTTAGTTAGCCCTGCCAGTTTTTCGTCATGGGACCTTTCATCAAATTTAGTTTTACTTACCGATTTAGATGATTTTCTGACATTATTAGCAATTTTGATTTTACATTTGTTGTAACTTTTCCAATGAAACATCATTGAGAAGTTTTAAAAATTAATTCAATTTTATTTTTTATTTTGAAAAATGATTTAAATAAATTCACTTTATACTATTATTTTCCCAGTGAAAAGATTCATTAGGAAAGGCATTCCAGCAGAAAAAAGGCCACTTGTTAGTTTTTTTATGTACCTAAATTCAAAATTTTTGTTTAGTTAAAATGAAATGAAAATTTGTGGTGCAATTCTGTTATAATATAATGCCTTGTTATTTCACATTTCTTTAATTGATTTATTTGTTTATATTAAATAATAAAATGTATTTCCCACAATTGATTGATTTATTTATTCATTTACCTGTTAATCAATTCACATGTTCACCAATAATCTTCATCAGCAAATTCACTTTTCCATTTTTCTTCAATCACATTATTTTAATATCTTAAGCTGTTCATCCATTTTTCAATCATTTAATCACCTATTTTTCTATTTATCCATTCATCCATCCATCCATCTATCTGTTTTTCCATCCATTTATTTAACTGTTCATCCATCTATCTGTTTTTTCATCCATCCATTTATCTGTTTATCCATCCATCCATCCATCTATCTATCTGTTTATCCATCCATCCATGCATCCATCCATGCATCCATCCATCCATCTATCTGTTCATCAATCCATCAATCTATTTATCCATCCATCCATGATCTTAGATGTGGATGTACATGAGTGGGGCGGAGGAGAGGAAGCAATCAAATCCACCTCTCTATGGAAAGTTGCTACAGGATAAACACGATCCACAGCTCATTGAAGCTATCAAGAATGGTTTGTATAAGTGTGTGGATGTGTTCGTGTGTGTGTGTGTTTGTGTGTGTGTGTTTGGGTACAGTTGTGTGTGTTTGCATGCATTTATGTGTTTTTTTTTTTTGTTAAAATGATTATTTTTTAAAGGCTACATTATTTTCTTCACCCTGCTTCGTAATTTCATTACATGGCATATGTTTGAAATGTCTGAATTTTTATCATTCATTTAACTGAATCAAATAAATTTTTTCGAATTTTTTAAATGAACCCTGACCTCAACCTTGACCTACCAGACATCCACCGAACCTTCCCAGACAACATCTACTTCCAGGGCGGCACGGATGACTCCACGTCGAAGCGTGCCTGCCTCTATAACGTACTCCTGGCCATCTCACACAACAACAAGAAAACTGGATACTGCCAGGTGAGTCAATTGGTCAATTGTCTTTCAACTGCATAGTGCAGTGTTGTGAATTAAGTCTTGTGTATTCCATGCGAGTCATTTTTATTGATTATTCTCAAATGAAATTAGACGTTCTATGATTTCTTAATTTTACATCAGCAATTGCACGGAATTTTACGCAAATTTAGATATCATTATTATTGTATGCGTGCTTTTAATTAACCTAATGAACAAACATATGAGAGCAAACTGATAGCTGTGCAAACAAACGAACGAACACAAACAAACAAACGAACAACTTTTAACACTAAACCACAACAAACAAACAACACTCAACATCAGGGCATGAACTTCATAACTGGTATGCTGCTTTTGGTGGTGAAGGATGAAGAGAAGGTCTTCTGGTTACTCGACACTTTGATCAACGTCATCTTGCCCGGTTAGAATTTTTCGACATCACTCACCACATTATCGTTGTGGTGTTCTGATTATTTTGTAAAAGAACAGTAACGAAGAGTGAAAGCAGATTGATGTAGTTTCGTAGCGGTTGAATTTTAATTTGAAGTTTTGCATCCTTTCCATAATTGTATGTGTGCCTACGCTCAACCACTGTTATCATTCACCGGTGTAGATTTTTGTCGCGGTGTAGATTTTTTTTCATTTTTGCCAAATTTTGTTTTTTTTTCAAGGTTATTACACCCCAGACATGACCGATGTCAAGGTCGACTGCGAGGTCTTGGGCGAACTCATCAAGTAATTTCATTGTTGCTTTTTTTTTATTTTTCATTAAACGAGTTTTCATTGTCAATGACCGTCAAAACATTTTTGGACTTTTTTATGTGTTATAAATTAGTATTTATAACTTTTATCGATAATTTTCACTTTTTTATATTCATTATTTTATTTGTCATTGAAAGTTTGTTCTGTTGATGACTGCAGAATAAAATGTCCGGATGTGTATGCGCTGGCCGAGAAGTTCGGTTGTGCCTGGTCCATTGTTGCTACCAAGTGGTTCATTTGCTTGTTCGTGGACGTCTTGCCTGTGGAGGTTGGTTGGCTGGCTGGCTGGTTTGCTGGTTGGTTGGTTGGTTGGTCGGTCGGTCGGTTGGTTGGTTTTGTTGATTGGTTGGCTGGTTGGTTGGCTGGTTAGTTGGTTGTTTAATTGATTGGCTGGTTGGTTGGTTGGCTGGTTGGTAGGCTGGTTGGTTGGCTGTTTATATGGTTGGTTGATAGGTTTTATAATTATTTGATTGAAGGTCGGTTTGCTGGTTTTTGGTGTCGGTTGGTCTTATAATCGTTTGCTAGTTGGATGGGAGAATTGATGGTTCGTTAGTTTGGTCGTCGTGTGTTTGAAGTTTAGGGTAGGGTAGTTTTTTGAATTAGCTCAATGTTTCTATTTTTTAGTTCATGTTCATGAATATCTTATCGCTTTAGAACTTTTATTTAAATGGTAATTATAGAGACACTAGAATATTATTCCATTGCTTTGTGAAGACATTTTTTAGTTATTTTTAATCAATCAAAAATTGTTTTGTTGTATTCATGGTGATTTGATTTGGTCAAAGGATTAGGTCAGTTTTTAAGGTTCAAAGTGAAAGAATTTAGAGGTTTGTAAAACATAACTCACGCCTTGCTCATAAGATGTTGTATGAAATGAACATATGCAGACTTGTTTATAACGCATCACGTGACGGAATCACGTGATACCTTCAATGAATACCTTATTTAATTACATTCAGTTTTTTGTCTTAATTATCCAATCCTTACTTGGAAGCAATTGTTCTCTTAGCAGTTTCAATGATTTTGTTAACAACATATTATAGATGTTTTAATTTTCGTTTGGATTTAAAATCTCCAACACCTGCAACCGACAGACGGTACTTCGAATATGGGACAGTCTCTTCTTCGAAGGCGACAAAATTTTGTTCCGGGTTTGCATAACACTCATCAAGCAGAACTCCGCGAAGATTCTGAAGTGCCGAAACTTCAGTGAGATGATGGAGGTGCTGAGAGGCATGACGTCAGATGCCCACGTCATCGATTGCCATCAGTTCATGGAGGTGAGTGATGCTGCTGCTGCTGTCTGGCTGCTGTTTGCAGCTGACCACGAGGGATGAGATTATATGAAAAAAAACTTCTGATAAATTTCATGGTGTTGATGTCTGTCGAAATCTTTCACTTTCACCTTGATGTAATTTAAATTGCTTACAACCACATAAATTGATTTCACTACCACAGAACATCTTCAAGGAGCCGGGATCGTTATCAAGATCACTCATCACCAAACTAAGGGAGGACTGTAAGAGGAATTTAACGGCGAACAACAGCAACAACTAGTCACGTGTCTCTCGTGTCGTCGCCATCATCATCATCATCACGTGACCATCGTCATCATCATCATCACGTGACCATCGTCATCATCATCGTGTTCCTCCTTATCATCATCAACATGTTCATCGTCATCATCATGATGATTTTGTTTTCGATATAATCGGCGTTATCATATTTTCTTTCTTCACTGCGATCAGCATTTCGTCATCGTCATAGTATGTTTTGTTGTCCATATCCCTGACGTCATCATCATCGTTATACTCATATTCACTCTTATTTTTATTGATGTTTCAACAACATTCTTTATTTTTTTTTTGGTTTTATCATTTTAAATCGTAATTGCTAATCATTATTATTAAACTATCATAACAACGATAATATTATTATTGTTATAATAATAACATAATAAAAATATTAGTACATTTAGTTTTATTTTATTATTTTCATGATTACTACTGGTGAACCTTTTTTAATATCAGATATATTTTGGGAGTTATTTTATTTTATTTTTCTTATAATCACTCTATCTTATTTATATCATTATTATTACAAATCATTTGTGTGTGTGTGTGCGCGCGCGCGCGTTTTGGTCTGTAAACTGTAAATATGTATATATGGATCTACTACCATTGCCATTGTTTTAGATTTGATATGTATTATTGAGTGCATTTACATGTATGTATGTATATATATATATATATATATATATATATATATATATATATATATATATATATATATATATGTGTGTGTGTGTGTGTGTGTGCGTGTGTGTTTATGCGTGTGTGTGTGTGTGTGTGTACGCGTGAGTGTGTGCGTGCGCGCGTGAGTGTGTATTTCGATTTATTGTAAGTTATTAGAGCACGCTTGTGTATTGTCTTTCATCATATCAAGTTGTATATTTTCAAATTTCATTTGTATCAAGTTGTATATTTTCAAATTTCATTTGTTGACGATGATAGTAGTTATAATTTAATAATAATATTTGTAATTATATGTATATATATATATATATATATATATATATATATATATATATATATATATAATTGTCGAAATATGGTAGTAGTTTTTTAATTATATGTAGATATAGTTTCAAATTTAATCGCTAATGTCATTTAGCTACTTTTTTTTATTTAGTTCGTTTAAATTCAGATTAATAAAATCTAACGAAATGTGTTTAAGACGCCGCAACAATGGATGGATGAGAGGGCAGGTGATGAGGTGGATTGAAAGTTGCCTGCATTCTCTGCTTGTACAGTATGTACAGTTAGGGTTTCTGCACTTGCTGATAAGAAGAGGTTATTAGACTGGTCTCTGGGATATCTTCTTTTGAATTGAAAAGTAGGAAATATCCAAGATGATTATAACTCCACGAAATGCATATCTGGAAATAATGTTAATTTGAGTTTGGGAATTATAATGATGATGCGTGTGTATCAATTTTTGCTGCTGTTTATCACATGTTAACTAGTTGAGTTCAGATACTCAGCCAAGATATTTATTATAGGTTTTTCATGATTTTTATATAATTTTGCATATATATATATATATGATCTGCATTGTAATAAAATTAAATTTTATGTTTCAGAGTTTATTTTCATACATGATCTGGCTATAAAACTGAATAAAAGTTTAATATGTGCAATTATTTTTACTGCCATTTACAGACTGCTTTGCTGTTAATTGAATTTGCTAGATGCTTTTTATTTTTTTGCTTATCTGATCCGGTCTGGTCCGGTTATGTGATCGGTTCTTTGAGTACGGAGACGTAGTTGCTGTTTGAATGATCGTGATGAACTAATGTACTTTTGTATATACGCTTGTCTGTCTGTCGGTTTGTTTATTTTTTTTGTTTATTTTTGCTTTGTTCTTTTTGAGTTCTTTGGCAATTATCAAATGTGTAATTTAATTTAGTTTTCAACCTGTTTTTATTCATTTTAATTTAATTAAAATATAATTTGGTTTTATTGTGTGTGTGTGTGTTTGTACGTGCGTGTGTGTGCGTAGTTTTAGTTTATCGATTTAGTTTTGTACGTATGCAATTATTTTCATAGCTGTTTTGAAACGTTCCAAACCAATGAGTAATATATTTTCTTCAGCTTATAATATTTATTTCAACTTAATATTTGTATAATTATTTGTCAAGTAAATCTAAATGATGACCACACGCACACACACACACACACACACACACAGACACACACACACACAATTTTATATATATATTTCGCAATATTTTTAGCACGTTTATATGAATTCAGTCATCCTATATTTTAGATTTATAAATTTTTGAATTTTATTTCATCCATATCTTTTTAACCATCAATATTATTTGGATTAGATTTTTATTGTTAGTACAATTCGAAATCACGAAATAGATCTTGACACAATTCAAACCGCCATTGATTTACATGTGGGTCAATTTTTTACGATGCAATTTTTGTTGAGATTTTGTTTTTCCACCGAATTTCTTTTGCGTAATTTTACGGTTGTAAAATTTTCGTTAGCTGACATGTTTGCTCAACATTCGTTCTTTCACTTTTCATTCCTCGGTTTGATTTTTTTAAGGTTGTTATGGTATTTTTAGGTTACATTAAGACATGTTACTAAAGACAGATCTTGTGCAGATGACTGTTCAATAGCTATTTGCAACTCTTGTTTCTTGTTACTTTATCATTTCTTTGGTTTATCAAATTATTAGTTTGCTATTCATTCCTCTATAGTTTTTGTATCTTTTTATTAAATTCTTAAGCCATTAAATTGGTTTATTATTTTAATTCTATTTAACAATAAACCATTCGGTATGATCTTTCTGAAGTTCACCAGACAAACATACATGAAAATCTCGCTTCATTACTTGACAATTATCATCAGATATTTCTTGTGGATGATTTCAACAACCCTGATTTGTTTAAAGTAGTTAATATGATGATTTGAAAATTTGACATAATGTTCTTTGTGCTTCTCACGTTTCGAAATTATGCGATTAGTTGGGTGTAAGAATTTTCGAATTCTCTTCAAAAAATATTTTCACCAATACCTTACTTACTTTGTTTTATGCAATAACAGTTATAAACATTCAGTTTGAAAAAATCGAAATCGTATATGTGTGGTTCTGTTTATATACAAATGAAATCACTTCTACATACTCATCGTCCGTGAAATAGCGCATTTCTCTTGAAAATGACGCTGGAGCGTAACGTTAATTTAGTATGCAAGAAGCAGTTCCACATATATAAAACGGTGCCAAACTAGAGATTGCGTATGTACGTGTCTCCACAAATCATTATACCCTGTTGTTCTGCAATGGAAATATCCTAAATTGTTTCTACTAGTGAGGAAATTAATTCTCAAACGTTTATTAACATAAAATTTTGTATAATCTTCTGAATGCTGCTTCGGATATTTGTTACTTGGATAAATTGTACAAATGGCGTAAGATTTATATGAATCGATGTGGATTTTTTGACGGGCTGTGTTAATTTGCATGCACTCTGCGTCATGTTTGTGAATATTTTGTTCATCCATTGGAGCATATTGCATGCCATACAATTTTGTGGCATTTCTACCTATTTATATTACAATAGCAGTCTACGATTATTAAATAAAATTTATCAGTTTAATTTTTCATTAAATTCTTATTAACGAAAGAAAAAAAAGTTAATTTAATTAAACTTTTCACGTCCAATTCGTTTGTATAGGTCGTTATAATTAAAAACACATTCAGAAACAGCATGTGCTTTATGCGTTCGTTGAGACGTTCAGCTGGTTAATGTATGATATATTAATACATTGAACGGTGTTGCACTGCATACAAAATATTATTTTCACTCAACTTTGAGTGTGCGTTGTTAACATGCCTTGATGATTTACAACGGTTTCAAATTGACGAGTTCTACATAACATGTTTATGACTTGAACGTAATGAACGCACATTGATTACCTGCTGATGAAATATATAATGTATTTTAACAATCACTTGAGTCTTGAAACAATGACTTTTGTCGAAATTTACTGCACATAAAAAAGTTTTTGAAAATTTAAATATCTACTAATGAATCCAAAAAGAGAGAGGACGAAGTTAGCGAAAAGTAGGTTGCAGTTATGGAACTGTGGATTTTCAGCTGATAGAGAACAAGATATTAGACAACAATTGTTGTTAATATCTGATCATTATCAGCATCTCTCTCAACATTGTTGTGAGCAACGTCAACAGTGTAGCGAGCCAACATCCCTGCAATACCATCATCAACCTCATTCGCGTCACCCACTGAAAACACTCCAACATAAATGGCAACTTGGTGATTTCAACAAGGCGAGCAGTGACTCCAGTCTGTTGTTGGCAAAAAAATCAAGTGTTTCCAAATCACTGACATTAAGAACAACAACAACTTCAACAACTCTGCTGCTCAGTTCAGCAACTAAATTGTCGTCAGCATCATCATTATCTTCGGATTTGTTGACAGCAGCAACCAAAACTACGCCATCATCATCATCATCATCACACTTGTCGACTTGGCATCCGTTATTTTCTTCATCCTCACCTACTAAACCAACAAATCTGTCTACAACGACATCGCATTTTCCAACTCCACTATCACCAATAACTCAACAAACGTCACCACCATCTCTGTGGCCCGCTTCATCGCTAACATCTTCGCCAACCGAGTCAGTCATGGATGCAAGCGTGTTCGATTCATCTCTACCATCATTTCCATTCTCACCATCCGCAAATGAGGGAAGTAATTCAACACCATCTTCACCATCGGCCACAACTTCGTTAACAATATCAACAGCAGATGTTTTTGACGGATCAAATATATCTTCCACGCCTCCACCAATACCAGTATTAAATTTGCCATTGACGACTTCGAAAACAACATCAACAACATTAACTTCACCAACACTACCATCTGTAACGTCCACTGCAATATTATTATCATCATCAACAACAACATCATCATCATTAACATCATCAGCATCATTATCATCATCAACAACAACATCACCATCATCGGTAACATCAACAACAACATCAACATCAGTTACAACAGCCGTCAAAACTCTCCTCGATTCAAGCGTGTATTCTCTTTCTGGCTGGAGCAGGAAAGAGTTTCAACAACTAACAACCAACAAAAACAAACCACCAACAACGACAACAGCACCCGCAACACCAAATTCACATCAACAACCGATGAAACTAACCAAAGTGCCGCAAAAATTTGCCGTTTTAACAAAACCTCAGCTAGCTTTCCAGCATTTCGAGACTGTGGAACTTTACATGCAGCAGTATCGAAACACCATCACCTACTCCAGGCTCATGAAGAGCAAAAGGTTTCCATTCACTCATTTCATCCTCTGTGTTATTTTTTATGACTCTCAAGCCGCGCTTGGTTGATAAGTCACAACGAACTGTTTCGTCTCAATGACAAGGTTCAAATTTTCTTTCTCTCACTCTCTCTTACTCTTTCATTCTCTCTCTCTCTCTTTCACACTCTCTCTACCCAGAACTGAACATCATCTACGTTATTCGTGTATGGTAAAGTGCAGACAGACAGATTTGTGTGTATGATACGTGGTGAGCATGTTGTAGCTGCAACTGTCACCCATACACGTTTTCACTTTTAAATAATATTTAAAAAAAATTATATTTAATAAAAAAATGTCATAAAATATGTTATAATAATAAAAAATTTTAAATTTTAAAATATTTACATTATTTTCAATAATTCCAATAAATTTCTACCCTGGAAAGGTGCTGGGAAAGTCCGACGAAATGGAGCGAGGCAGGCAGTTTTGATGGTAGGAGTCTTGACGGCAGAAGTTGTGGCGATGGTTCAGTGAAAAGTGGCTGTGGTAGTGGTGGTGGTAGTAGTGGCGTCGCAAGATTTGTGGACGGTGTTGATGGTAAGAAGCATGGTTCAAACAATAATAGGAAGGTTTGTTTCATTTCGAGTATGTTGCCGATTTGTTGATGTTGGTTACTTATTTTTCGTAGTGTTATTTCTTATAACACTGCTAAATCATTGTTATTATTTTGCCGACGAATACTTCCACAAACTCAAATGCTGTTGTTATGTTTCAATGCAGATGGTTTTGAAACTTCCAAAAATAATAGCTTCACAATCGCTTCCAACGCCGCCACCTCAACCGCATCGTTCCCAGCCACAGCGGTCAATTCCACATTTGTCACTGCCCCTCATACACGCAAACACCTCATATAACAACAACTTCAACGTGATGACATCATTAAAGCAAACCAACTACTTGATGACATTTCCGCCAATATTTCAAATTTTGCCGCTAAAATCGAACAATATTAATAACGTGATGAAAAATAAAAGCTATGATATGACTAATAACAAAACTGTTAATTTCTACTGTTACAACTTCGACTGCGATGGGCTGTTGTTGAAGAAGAATGTGCATCCGTCTGATAGTTATAGATCTCGTAAATTTGATGATGGATACAATCAGCAACTCCAATCACATCTTCCTCATCATCATCCTCATCACCCTCAACATCGTTCATTTCAATCTCACGACAAACCATCAGACCAAACTGGTCCTTGTAAATATGAACAACAAGAAACATCTAAACAATTTGGCCAACGACAACTTTGTCAACATCTTCAAAAACAGACATATTTGCAACGAGAACAGCAGCAACAACAACAACAACATCAACAAAAACAACAACAACAAAATAATCATCGCAAACAGCAAAAACAAAACCAAGATCACCGTCAACAACTTGTTTTAAAAAAAGTTCTACATGACATTCAGCCGCAGCAACAAACACATCAAGAACAACAACGAAAGCGTCACAGATTGAAATATAACGGCGTTAAACATCGGCGTTGTCTATCTGAAAGTGATTATTAGTTAGTTCGATCGGTTAGTAGTTGGTTGGAAAATATTTTTTGAAATAATTTTCTACAACAATGATTGTGCGTAGTCTTGGGTTAAAACACACACAGGCAAATAAAGACCATTCCTTGCATCAAAATAATTTATAACTATAGAATAACTTTAAAACAAACTTGGCAAAAATAGAATATTAAAATAGTCTCTGAGTGGTCCTGTACAAACTTAGTCTTTTTTGATACTTTTAAAAATTGTTGTGTTGTGTTGTGTTATGTAATGTAATATAATGTTATGTTGTGTTTTGTTGTGTTATGATATGTTAGGTTAGGTTACTTTACTTTAAGTTATGTTATGTTAAAATGTAGGACTCTTACGAGCATAAAATTGTGTGCATGTTTTAAACACAACATTTGCAAGGCTTACGTCTACTTCTTAGAATGTGGTTGAATAGAAAGTGCAATTAATGAGTGTGTATCTCATTTCTACATACATTACTTAGCCTGCCTTTAATATGTCTTTGTGGTTATTTCATAGGTTTGTTGGACTCGATATTATTACAATACATTTATGGTAATGTTATTAATTTGTTTATCAGACTAAAATATTATTTTGTGGAGAATAATTTTAAGTAAAATGTTTATAGATCAATGATAATGTTTGATAATTTGCACTACAGATTTGAAGCGATTTGTTAGTTAAGCCACTTAGTTAATAAAAACATTAAATATTACGGCCTACAACATGCAGATTCTCTCATCTTCATGTCATTTCCTCAAAAATTCTACAAACTTAAATTTACAATCTAGAGATACTGTGCTTCATCGCCTGAATAGCGATTTAAAATAGGTATCCATACAAAAGTTTTGGTCTTGTTTATCAGTTCGAGATGTCTACCCGGTTTCCTAGTTTATAATAAAATTTGCCATTCGAAAATTATTTAACTGTGTTTATTGTTTTTGACTGCTCTAAACCAAGGAAGATGGTCATAGATCTTTAACCTTTTAGCCTTTAAACTTTTAACATCGTAACGCTGCCATTCTATTGACACTTTTTTTCCATTACTTATGTGTGTAAAGGTTAAAAATTGGTTCAACCTTGATCCATTAATTATTTTTTATTAGTGCAGTTTTATGGAAATTAATTTCTCCTTAAAAAATACGAATAGTTCTTTAATGAATAATAACGAGTGAGTGTAACAACATCAATCTCCCGCATGTACCTGCCACATAATTCCATTATTTTCCAATTAATTCCCTGTTTATTAGTTGATTCCATTCGATCGAAAAAAAAAAATTTTTTTTGTCCCTACTTAGCACATTCGTCTGATCATTTTCTTTCTCCTTCTTACGTCAAATGTTCTTTTAATCATTCATTCATCATTGTCTCCTCTTATATCATTAATTATTTATCTGTGGATATTTTTTCATCTTCTTTTTCAGTCAGTCTTCCTTCAATCATCATTCTTTTCATGAATTAATTTTCCTTCTAATTCATTATTTTACTCACTCAGTCGATCATTGTTCAGCACTTCATTCATCCAATCACATAGGTTCGTTCATTCACTCAATCTGATGGTTCCCACCAAATCATATGCACTTTATTATGACTTTCTGTTCTCGTGTTTTGAGAGTCCTTTTGACTCAAATATACTCAAGCCTGCACACCTGAGTGATGATATCTCTGAATTAATTAAACCTCTCTTGTTTCATTGTGTTGTTTCTTTGGTGTTGTTACGAGTTTGTTCTTTGTTTTTTTGTTGGTTGTTTGTTGTTGGATGTTATTTAGTATGTTTTTTAGTTCTTATCAGTTGATTTTTTCAATTTTTACCATTTCATTTGATGGAATTAATTTATATTACATTGTGATTTGATCAATTAATAATCTATATTTTACGAGTTTGAAATATAATGAAAACCTAGAGATTAATAAAAGTTTTAATTTTATTAAAAACTTAAATTTTGATCTTTTAGTTTCAAATTTTATTTATATTTAAATAAATATCTTTCCTCGAATAATCATTTTTTATGGTTTTCAAGAACTTTTTTTATTGAACTTACACGTCCATCGATACAATCATTACAAGTCTATGGCACTCACAATGTCAATAACGATTTTTTGGCCTTTAAATATTAATGACTTCGTTACTTATTCATGGATCAATTGCATATGTAACATTAAGATATGCCATGCAATCCTGTTTTGCTTATTCCCTTCATATTGCCGATATTCATATGGAGTCTTTGGGTTTTTGTGCTGTATTGTTGTTCTTTGCTTGCCTACTCCAAAGTAAAAATTGAATTATAACTAAAAGTTAATTAAATGAAAGTTGACTAAAAATTGCTACTTTTGAATTTTGATATGAAAAACTACTTTTTGAGAGTGTGTGAAATCAATTATTTCTTCTTTCATCATTCGAGTTATTTTGTAAAAGAGCATTATTATTATTATTGTAGAAAATTTATTAATTTCAAAAAATCGTAATAACGAATATAGAATGTTCAACACGTTCAGATTTATGAAACCTTAACCACGGAATAATCAAAGATTGATTATACGTACACACGTTAACATTGTCATCATAAATGAAATTAGCAACAAAATCATTTAGGATAAAATAACTTGAAAATTGAAATAAAATTAAAATAGAAAAAATAAAATAAACTTCGCACCATGAGAATAAAAAACCGACTTACGCTAGAATTAAAATTTAAATTTTCAATGTCAGGTTGCAAACACGAAAATTAAAAACTTGAAAGTTATACATCTCCCATGCATATTGAAGCAACTTTTAGACTGACATCATCATTATAATGTTGTTATTGATCTTATTTAGCTTTTAACTTGACTTATTTCTAAAGAAATGTTAATAACTTAACGAAAATATGTAAACTTGATGAGTGTGCGAATATTTAAATGAACACATGTTTTGAGCATTTGGCTGAAGATTTTTTTGCTGAAGATGTTGTTAACGGTTAACAGCAGAAAAATGATTTTATTGGGTTCTTATTTATTAATATATGAAAAATTAATATGTTCCTGATCGATGTATGATGTAAAAAATTGCAAAACAGTTTGTCAAGTGTGTTGGTCTATGTGCAAAAGTAAAAAGTGTGCGCGTGTTGATGAACAAAAACTCATTCAAGTTGCAGGTTCTTCGTATAGTTGAAAAACAGAAATAAGGCGTATATGTTTTTTTAATCTTGGTCCAAATTCTTGAGAGCCGCAGAACAATCGTCGTAGAACTTGCGCTGAGAGGTAACGAACGCTTTCACGTAGATTATGTGATCAGCCTGGTTTCAAGTGCGTTGTTGAGGAATGATTGTTATGAATCGATGTGAGAAATTAATAAATATACAAATAAATAAAAAGCATAAATAAATATACGGTGTATGGATTTATTTATTTATTAGCTCACAACATCAAATGTTTCTGAGACATCATACCAAAAAAAACTGAAATAGCTGATGTCGAAATATGTTTCTTGCATCGGTTGCAGCAACGAAATTATTTTTAATATAGCGATGCGAACAATAAAAAGGGAGTAATACAATTTATATATATATTCAATGTCATCATCTTCATCATCATCTTCTTCTTCTTCATCATCATCATCAGCGAGACAGCAGTCAGACACACAAGACCACCACAAATAATTACGTAAGGTCATCATCAATAATGCCAAAATAATCATAACCGTATCATTGAACAGAACGACGGAAGCGTGCAAGTTTTAATAGATGAGTAAATTTGTATAACAAATAAATGTATGTGATGTATGTGTATATGCGTACACGAACACACACAGAGACAAACACATGTACATTTACAAACAAGCAGAACAAACGGATGCATGTTAACATTTGCAAATTGGCAAAGACACACCTAAATGATTGTTAATAAACAAAACGATATGAAGGACAATTTATGCAGAAATAGAAATATTGTCTAAATGAGATCTTATAAACAACAAATTATATGAAATAATAATGATAAGAGTTTTGAATGCAGTCATATCACAATAAAAGACATAAAAAAAACACAAGAAGCAACAACAATAGCAACAGATACATCTGAATTGTTAAGAAAACGAACAATATAAACAACAAAACACAAAGCCAGCAACATCAGAAACGTAGAAAACATAAACAACAACAACACAAAACCAATGACATCAAAACATAAACAACAACAACAATACAACTCAAAACCATCGACATAACAAACAACAACAACAAACACAAAAAACATCAAAACGTGAACAACAACAGACCTGGAGAGAAGCCAAGTTCTCCATAACTTGGGTAGTTGCGGCTGACTGTTCGTCGAATGCAGTCTGGGCAACCTTCAGCTCATCTTCAACCTGTCCATTTTTTTCATTTTTATTCATTTAAATATACTATTGTACTTCTAATAAAAAAATTAATATAAATACATTTTAAAATAAATTGTTTTAAAATATTTTTCAACAAGAGTGATGAGAGTGGCTTTGGCGATAAAACTTATTTTATATGATACTGAGAATGAACAATTATCTAATTTGGTCTTCGTAATATAATATTCTCATGAATTATGAAAAAGAATAAACTAAAATATCTGAGAAAAAAAAACGAATAATTGTACCTTGGCAAGATCATTAGGGTCCTGGGCAAATGAAATTTTAATTGAATTGAAATCATTAAAATTTCCAAGCAAAACGAACACATTTGCGCACGATAAACAGCACCCCTTATGAATTTCAGTCCTACCAAGCAAGGTAGGACCCAGGCGCTCTGCTACTCTGCCATTTTACTCAATAGATTTCTCTTTAGTAGTTTGATTGTAATTTGCCTTTATGTCGTAGAGCAACTTTATTCTCATCATAATCACCGTCATTTTGAATCAAATTGCTTAATAATCTTACGTATCTAACATTTATCCAACCATTGGTCTCTTCATCCTTCTATCCATCTGCTTATCCATTCATCCATTCATCCAACCAATCAACAAACCAAACATTATTACATCCATCCATCTAGCCAGCCCTCCCCCACATACAGGCTCCTTCCCGGAACTGGTCAGTTTCTTCATCTTGGACTTGACGATGTCCAGCTTCAAACGCAGGTCCTCCAAGTTCTTCTTCTCTTTCTGTCCATCCAACCAAACAGTTCATAAATTTTTATTTCATGTGCATGCGATGGTGCAATTTATAGAAACATTCAACACATTGTAGCGCAGGTTTCATCATTCTGCGGAACGATTTACAGAAAAATTAATCGGATTCAAATAAAAATTGCTATTATCAGCCAAAATATTATTTCAAAATGCCAGTGAACCAGTATTTGTTTTATTTATTCAACGTGTGAAACTATTTAACAAATTGAAAGTTAGTTAAAATTAGGTTCAATATTAATTTTCGGTTGATAAATCAACAGCATTGCAATTAAAACCTTCCCGTAAATGTTGGGCTATTAATTAAAGGCATTTGCGGCTTGCTGATTGGTCGACACAATTGTTGCATAATTAATCATTCAGATGATTGATTAGTTGAACGTTTGATTGAGAATTTGATTGATTGAACATGAAAGGCTCCCAACAAACCAATGCATATGCCATGTTCACGTCCAGAAAATTTTTCATCGGTTTGACGAAATCCTCGCGTGCTTTCTGCGTAAAATTTTTGAACTCTTCTGCGATTTTTGTTTGCGCTGCTCCAAATTTGTTCAGTGTGGCTCCTGTGCGATGTTAACATTGATTGGAATTTTGAGAAATCAATTATTTATTCTTTGTTGATGTTAGTTAAATATAGTTTGTTATTCTTGCCTCGTTATTCTAAATATTGTTGTTGCTTCTAGAATTATTATTATTATTATTATTATTATCATCATCATCATCATCAACATCACCAACATCACCATCATTGTCATCAACATTATTATCGTCATCACCATCATCATCAACATCACCCTCATCGTCATCACAATCACCATCATCATCATCAGCACAACCATCATCACCGTCATCATCATCATCAGCATCAACATCAACATCACCATCACCATCATCACAATCAGCCCACCATAAGGTGTGGTGTCTCCGAGGTCAATGGAAGCCTCGAGAAGAACTTGCGCGAATGATTCATACTCGGTTGGTCTGTTGGACTTCTGGGCCTGCAGCTTCTCCGACAAGTAATCCTCGACACGAGCAGCTGACAGAATCAAATGCAAAAATAGTAACACATCATCATAAATTTCTAGAGAACTATTTGAGACACCAAATATCAAAATTAAATTACTGAAGAAAAAGATAATTGCATTGTGATTGCGACTGATAGAAGTTACATTAGCATGATTGAATCGTCAAGGTTGTGATCAACATATGCATTTAGCAGTTTACCATCAGTTTTGATACTGTGGCAATAGTAAATATAATGATATCTACATAGATTAGATACATTCTTGTTTCAGTGTGATAAATATTGTTGTTAGAATTAGTGTTATAATTGTTAAAACTTCCTGTTATATATAATTAAATAAAAATAACGATGATACTAGCAAAAAGCGTTATTGAAATAGTCAGCAATTTTAATAAAGGTTCAAAGCGAAAATATCAACATGAAGAATAAACAAGACTATTTAGTTATTCATTCATTCATTGCAACAGAGCACATGATTATAAAACGTAAAATCGATGAGTGAGTGAGGAGGCCGTGTGAGCAGACGCCACGGTGCACATTAATGTACTATACAAGTTTTTACGTGACTGCATGCATGTTTTTATAACGCGTGGTTAATTAGTAACATTTACTGGATGTTATAACACGGCCAGGTGCAAAATTTTCGAAAAGCAAAAAATTTAAATTATTCTCAAAAAACATAGGAAATTACTTATTTGATCACTCTTTATCTATTAAGTTATTTTGCATCTAACTTTGTTATAACATCCATAATTTATTTCATACCTTATAAGAACAAACATACATTCACGTGTTTAAGTCTTTATTTAACTAATTATCTAATTAATTAATTAATTAATTAATTAATTAATTAATTAATTAGGTGCCTTGATTAGGCTGAAGGAAAGCCTCAGCCTCTTTGATGATCCTTTCAGTCCACACTTTGATCTTGTCAGCCTTCGTTATGAGGGCCACCAGGTTCGGATCGTACTCAGTAACTTCTGCGTATCCCAGAGTCTCGCTCGTCATCTTTTGAGATATTCAACATTTTTATCAAATCAAATCTCTAAGCGCTTCTTGTAAAATGTAATGTTTTTTTTTCTATTATTATTATCAGAAGATAATTTTTGAATACAAAAGTTTGTAACAGAAAGAGTAGTTATTTAAATTGTTATTTAAAATTATTTAAAAATAATTTAAAAAAAAGTGTTTTTCCAAAATTTAATTAGCAATATAAATTATCTGAATGATGGATTGGTCTGGCTTACCTGTCTGGCTTTATTGATGAGCGTTCCAGCTCCACTTGTCAGTTTTGCGAAATTCATTTCTCTTTTCTTTTGGGGGAGATCTGTTATTTTTAACGAGACACATTTAAAAATATAAAATCTTATATATGCGCATGTGCGTGTGTGTGTGTTTGTACGTGCGTGTGTGTGTGTGTGTGTCTGTTTTTTTTATGCTGAGATGATTTTGAACGTGTAATATGTTTGCCCTTGCAATAGTCTTCAAATTGATTTGCTATCTCAAATAGTTTTTTATTTATCTTTGTAAATTCTTACGTGCGTTTAAAACACACTACATAAGTTACATATATTCTATATTGGAGAACATTTCAGCTCATACTCATAGGGTCACATATTGTGAAATTATTTCGTTTTTGATTCGATAACATGTAGGACGAAAGGACAAGAATATCATCTAATTTAAAAAAAATAACTCAATATTATCTGACATTTCTATATAAAAGTTTCAAATCATTTTTATAATGAAAAACTGTTTCTTCACGAATTTTTATTTTAAACAATGAAACTCATTTAATACTCCGCGTCCCCACAGTTCTTAATATTATGTTTGTTAAGATATTTACAAAGTCTACGTCAGGTGTTTACCAACTTTTGTGACATAGCGTCGCGTTTTTAGTGAAAAATTATTCCATTTTACATGTTTTACATTATTAAACTCGTATATATCTTTCTTGATGAACTGCGGTTTTTTTGTTTATTTGCAATTCAGAAAAATATGTATTTAAAGTTTATTGAAAAATTTGCATGATTTTTTTGGCATGAAAGTGAATTTTTATAAGTAGTTATAATAATGATATGGTATTTCAACAATTATAAACAAAATTTCATTTAATAATTAGTGAAAAGATAAATTAAACAAAATAAAACTCACCTATAAAATTATTCAAACCAGCAAATAAACGCTCAGCAGTTTATTGAAAAATTTGCATGATTTTTTTGGCATGAAAGTGAATTTTTATAAGTAGTTATAATAATGATATGGTATTTCAACAATTATAAACAAAATTTCATTTAATAATTAGTGAAAAGATAAATTAAACAAAATAAAACTCACCTATAAAATTATTCAAACCAGCAAATAAACGCTCAGCAGATTGAATGAACGAACATCTGCTAAGGATGATGACGAGTTTTTTGTTGCAAGTAAGCATGAGCACATGTCGCAGTGTGTGTGTCGATGTTTGTGTGTGATTATGTGTGTGTGTGTGTGTGTGTGTGTATGTATATGTGTGTGCTTATGTGTGTGTATGTATGTGCGTGTGTGTGTGTGTGCGTGTGTGTGTGCGTGTGTGTCTGTTTTTTTGCGCCACCAGAAGAAGTATTATAAGACGAAACTTATCTCCGATTTGTAACGAAAATATTTTTGAATCCTGTCTAACAGTAAATTAACACGTTTGATTTGACATTAAAATATATATATATATATCGAAAATTTTAAAACTTTTCATTAAACGTTTTTTATTTTTGATTTATGTTATAAAATTAAATTATAAAATTATAATAGGTAAAAAATGAACAAACACATGATTACAGAACTGAACTAGGATTTGAATGCAAAGACAATGTTTAATAATGGCTTGCGTTCTTGTCAACTCTGACATTAAAACACTCTTTTTTTAAAGTTTGGCAGAACAAAACACTTATCAAGTTAGGCACTACCTGTCATACATGCGTCAAAATAACTATCTACAAGTTAAGTTTAGTGGCAAACAACAGATGATATGGCTCGATCTCAAGGGTGTCCAACCATATATAAATGTCAAACTATTTAAATAAACATTTAAACCTTTGAAAAATTTGTTAAACGTTCATGAAAAAAAACATTATCAAAGACACAAAAAAATAAACCAGCATTCAAACGTTTAACTTAATGTTTAAATCAGAATAAATAAACTAAATAGAATACACACAATAATCGATTGACAAACAAATATTTAATTAGCACACAGTTACAAAATACGGAAAAATGTATAAATTTAAATACATGGCATGTACCAACACGACGATAAAGGCTAAGTAGAGATCACAGCAGAAAGTTATCAATAAAAATGGTGAAAAACATGAACAATCCACCACAACTTACCTCTCCATCGCTCGCAATCAGTCCAAGGCTCGCCTCAACACCGCAAAGTAAAAGACGTAAGAAGCCAAACAGAGAAAAAGATCTCCACCTAGAACGAGATCACTTCATCGGCTCTTCCTGGAAACGAGTAACAAACTGGTCTATACGAAACGAAACGAAACGAAACGATATTTTATTTGCTTCTCAAAATTAAAAATTTAAAGAAAGCAAAATGACTAAAACAGAATTTATAAAAAATTCATCTAGTATGGCCACCTACATATATAAACGAATTTATACATTTTTCTGTTTTTGGTAACTGTGTGTTAATTAAATATTTGTTTGTCAATCGATTATTTTGTGTATTGGATTTAGTTTATTATGATTTAAACATTAAGATATACGTTTGAATGCTGGTTTATTTTTTTGTGTCTTTGATAAAGTTGATTTTCATGAACTTTTGCTCTCCGCAAATGAATGATCCATCTCGATATCACGTGCATAGAAAATGGGACTAGCACTTAAAAAGGAGATCCTCTCCTCGCAAGTAACTCGACAACCACAAACAGCAAACTCAAAGTGTATCGTCAACTCAGAAGATGAAACTAAAAAAGATTCTAACATTCACATCACATTAAATAATTTGCGGTTTAAGCGGTTTATTTAATTAAATTAAAACAAACAACTTTCAAGATATAATAAAATCATTGAAATAAAATTAACGCGATATGATAATAAATGACGTTAAAAATATCGCGCCATAACAATCACCCAACAAAAAGATTGAACTGCGGTGACAGAAATTAACAAACACACAACGAGTGAAAAATTAATTCAAAGTAAAAAATCGAAACCTTCCGTACGTAAGTCGCCATATGAAAAAAAAACTCTAAACACAATCTACCAATCACAAAAAACTTCTCTAACATCAATAAAAAAAGTTAACTCATCGGAGTCAAATAAATCAATGATTTTTTTCTTGTTTATTATGTTTTTTTATTTAGTTGTTGAAAAAATTAAAATTGATAAAGTAATAAAATGAATGTTGTATATTTTCTAGCCTATTCTTAACTGATTAATTTTTTATAACAATGAAATTAAAAAATTCTCTGTTATAAGTAATTACTAAATTGTTACAAGTAGCAATTTTAATCAGGGAATTAAATTTTTTTTTCAAAAATTGTTAATTTCTTTATATTTCATACTTATGCTCTATATTTTGAAGTCTATGTTTACTCGGAAAGTTCTTTCAACACCTGGTTTAATTCGAAGTTCGACGCTTGTTCGCTGTTCCGTGTTTATACGTTTTTACGTTGAAAGAACTTAGTGACAGCCAGCGATGGATACTTTCAAAGGAAAAGTTCTAGATGAACATTTGAAATATATAGATGATGATGAGAAATGGTGGCGAGAAACAATACTCAAACAATTCCTAATAGACTTTGCCCATTACCCCATTGGGAAGCGGAATTACGCAGATGTAGTTGCAAAATTTATGAATTCTGACAGTAGTCAAACACTTGAAAAAAAATTTCGTAAAGGCAAGTTCAAGGCATTCTTGGCACTGCCGAAAGAGGAGCAGTATGATCTGATGAGATCCGCGCAAGACCGTTATTACCAAGAAATGGCAAACATCGTTGCCGAATCAAGCGAAAACATACGTAGAGAATTTTATGTTCTCCGCGCATTCTATGAGGATCACTTCTATCGAGACCGAGTTAATAACAAACGATTCAAATTGCCCTTTTATAAAGGTGCCTTTTTGAACGAAAATTGCTCGATCTGTTTAGAAGAATTCACTGATGAAATTTTTATATGCGAGTTAGAATGTAGACATTGTTATCATTTCGAATGCCTGGACACGTGGTTAGCTTTGAGAACCAGCTGCCCCATCTGTCAAACGAACATCAGCACAACACTACAAGTGACCAGCAGTCAATTCGAGTGGACGACAACTGAAAATGGCACAAGAGTGTTGGTTCTTAGAGTGCGAGTAGATACCAACTATTTTTAAATAAAAAAAGATCAATTTATATCGCCGTCTCCTGCAATGACTTGACTTTTGTAAATACTGCTAGTTTTTTTTAATTTAAAATGATGACAATACTAATTGATTCGCTTGAAATGAATGAAACGCATAAATTGGATGTGCTGTAAATGAATTAGCAAATGCTAGTGTCTTGTTTTTTATTCTTATTTATTTTTATTTTTTTTTATTGTGTAATTAAATATAAATATGTTTTGCATGTATTTCATTTACATTTAAATTTATGAAATTGAAAGTTGTTAAACAGAAACTTAGTTTAAACAAATTCATTTAAAACTATTGTATATTGGACATCGTACAAGCAGTGATATTATAAGCGTACAATGTGATAATTATGTAGGAACGTTTCGACCGACTCTTGATTATTACAATTCTTTAATGTTATGCAAACGAGGTTCAGCTCAGTCATAAATGTATAAGAAAGTTTAAATTTTGATTGTTAATAGGCTTATAATTAATGCAAATTTCAAATGTTTCACAAAGGAAGAGTGTTGTGAATAGTTTATGAGTTATGGAGGCTTCAATCTGAGAAGAGACACTGCCGCACAATCAAGTCTACCAAAATAATAAAAATGAAGGGGGAGATTCTTGAAAAATTCTTGTCCAGATGTTTAAAATGTATTATTTGGCTAAGAATCAAAAAAAGCAAAACCTAGCAAATGAAGGAAAAGTCTTAAAAATCCCCGGTAAGTTTTAGATCAGATGCTGTTATTTTGACTCGTAAGATGCTCGTGTGGTATGCTCACAGAATTATAAACGTGCCTTGTGTTTCTCTACTCTTGCGACCAAAATTTAATTTTAAATCAAAAATAGAGATGTCAGCCATATAAACTATGAGATAAGTTTGAACCATTTGAATAAAATCAAATCTAAATCTCTTTTTCTCCGTAAGCGATCAGTCTTGTTAGCTTAAAATAAACAATTTAATACCATTTTGCAAGTGCCAGCAAAAACGTTTAGGAGACCTGAAGAGACTTTAATATGCACATAAGACATTTATTTGATTTCCATTTTATTTAAAAAACAACAACAACAACAAAACGTTGAAAAGTACTTGTAATTCAATTGAAAAGTAATTGAAATATAATTGAAAAATATTCAAAAAGTAATTCAAAAGTATTTAAAAATTAATAACGCAAACATGTTCGCCAATGTACAAAGTTTTGACAAGAAAAGAACATCTACAAATAAACATAATCTTGGTTAACATTTATTGTTAGATTTATATTCTTATTAAATTATTATTTTCAATTTGTTGATAAATTGAAAATACTTCCAAAAATATTACCAATGTTGAACATCTTTTGTTGTCTAGTGTTAAACAGTTAAGAATTAGAATTCAAATAAGTGGAATGTTAAAATTGACTTGAGGTTAACTTATTCAACATATAACAACAATTCAAAATTATACGTCGCACTGTTTTTCATCATTCTTCATATTTCAAGTAAATCTCGTAAACCTTCGCTTCCAAAATTAGTTAACAAAATATTTCATTCAATAAAACATTTATGTCTTATTTTTCATTATAATTAAATTAATTAATTTAGATGAATTTTACTTTATTACACCAAAATTTATAAAAAGTTAATTGTGAAATTAATTATTGTTTGTACTAATGTTTGTGATGGGGTTGAATACAAAAACATTGGAAAAAATCCATAACAAAATAATTTAATAAAGGAAACCAGCGATTAGTTGTCATAAAAATGATATTGACAAGATGACAGAAGTACAAAAATAATATAATATATATAAATATTTAAATTGAAGGATTTATATTCTAATTGAAACATTCAATCAGCATAATGGTCGATAAATAAATGTCAATCAATTAATTATAATTATAATAAAATTAATTGGTTAATTAAATCGAACGATAGGAAGGGATGATGAAAGGATAGATACAAGTTAGCAAAAAATTTAATCCAAAATTGAATCATAAAAAAAGCAAAGTAGAGCGAGAAAATAACAGCGACAACAAAATTATATGGCACAACAACACAACAACAACGACATTTTTTGGTTATTGAAAAATATTTTAATAATTATTTTTTCGAAATAAATTTAATGGCCATATATACACAATTATTAATATAGGAAGACTCGCTCGCATATCGTACATCATCATCATTCTTCTGATCTCACGACACAATTAATATCAATCAACGATAATGACAAAGCTCCACCATTATCAAAACCATCCTCATCATCAACCTCACCATCTTCATCATCTCCATAATTTTCATCATCTCCATCATTTTCATCATCTTTATCACTATTCTATCACCATGGCAGTAGAGCGTGCTTTGGTCACCACACCAACGATTCATCATTCATAAATCATTATTTTCATCGCCAAAATTATATCACGACCACTATCATTACAATCACCACAATGACATCGTCACCGTCATCATCACTATGACGTGATAGTGTTGGTGATGATGACGACGACTTTTCAATGAAATTGAAATGCCTAGCGACAAGAATGCCTAGCAACATAATCACGCCTATAGCAACCGGATCCGTGGAGACACAATTAAAATAGGATGGAGACATGGTAATTTGAATCAATTATTATCATTCCTTTATTGAATCATTATAATTATTTTTTTATTTTATATACATTGCATATATATACATCAAAGTTCAATTTTACAACACCAAAGTTAATTATTACAACGTCAAAGTTCATCTTGACAAAGTCAATATTCCCCTATATATACAGCAAGGAGCACTGATGATGATTCATTCGGGATCGAAATATGGCCTTATTTGCAGCATGAATTCGAAAAATAAGTTTATTTTGAATTTTAATAAACTAAACGTTCAACAAAAAACTTTAGTGAGAAAAATCGAAAAAACGAACTACAAACATATTAACGCCACACATTCGGTAGAATATATAGAATATTGTATATATATATATATATATATATATATATATATATATATATATATATATATATATATATATATATATATATATATATATATATTTATATATATATATATATATATATATTTATTTATTTTTTTATAAATTAATTGAATACACTTATATACAGTTATTTTAATAGACATTTATATACATACGGGCCAATGTAATGTACCAGTTTAAATTGTCTTCGTTCTCTTTCTTACTCTCTTTTCCATCCTTTCATCTTTCTCCCTAAGCGTGTAGGTGTGCATGTGTGCGTGCGTGTGTATGTGTAAATATTAGTTTCCTTACATAAGGAACAGGTTGGATTTATCTGGAGGTGAATATTTATCAAAATTGAAATATTGTAACAAATAAATGCATCAATATATACACACATACAGCAGAGAAAGGTTGAAAACGAATTATATATATATATATATATATATATATATATATATATATATATATATATATATATATATATACACAAACATTATATATATGTATATATATAACACTCACACACGCGTACGCATACAATCACACACACTAACACACACACATACAAACACACACAAACAAACATACACACCCACATATATATATACTATATATGTATATATATATATATATATATATATATACACAACATTATATTAAGTCATTATTCTGATATATAAATTGTATGGAATATTTATTAACCTAAGTGTTAAAATGAGTAACAGTTAATGTATAGAACGTTAAATCACAACAAGAATGGAAAACATAGCGCAGTATTATTGTATGTAACAACGAACGATGTTAAACAATATTTAAAATAGAAAAAAACAAATTTTGTTATATAAAAATTGTTATATTTACATTTATATATTATATATATATATATATATATATAAATATTTATTTATATTTATTTATATTTTTAATGATGTATTAGTATGTTGGGATGTAGTATATATATATATATATATATATATATAGTTTATATGGTATATATAAATGTACATACACAATAA